GGGGGGTTATTTAATAAAAAAAAAAAAAAAAAAAAAAAAAAAAAAAATCAAGTCCCACCAGATTTCTTTTCTGTAGTTAGTGATGTAACATTTCAGTCCACTGAAAGTAAAAAATGCCTCCTTTAATGGCATACTTTCTGATGGATTATTAGAATATTGAAATGATTCTGGACTCTCCTAAGTACTAACTGCAAATACTTATGTCCTCTTCACACTATTTGGCTAACTGTTCATTCACATATGATGATATCATATTGCAACAACTATAATATATGCAAAGCAGGATGGCATCTGAATGGCTTGGTGCATTGTGAATACTGATAATTCCTCAAACAAATACTGGTACCTGGGATTAGTAAATATAAATTGAGAAAATGTGTTTTTAAATTAATTTATTCTCTTCCTTAACTAATCTAATCTGGTTTATAACGTAAACCAAAATTACTGGCTGAAGCTTTAAACCCCAGGGTGGAGGTTGAGGGGGAGATGCTGAGAAAAAAATGGTTAAATGTCCAGAAAGATGTTGGGAGACTTTCTCCTCTGATCACATGGGAGCTTTTCCATGCCTGATCTCTATGTGGAAGCCTCCTGTTGATTTGTGGAGGAGACACCTTTGCACCTTTGTCCTTGACAAACAGTAGGGTCACTTATGCCCTGTTTCAAATCTATTCACCTGTCACTGATTCGAGCTCTATTGGAAGACTCTTCTTGGCCCAATACAATCAGAAAGGCAGCTGCGGTATCCTGGGACTAGGGCAGGTTTGTAGTGCTGTGGGAAATTAGGAGTAACATGGAGGATACGTCCATCAGCATGAATTCCCTCAGACCTTCTGGACTTCCTTGTAAACTTTTGAACATATGTGATTTTGGAGCACCAAACAGCATACTTGTTTCAAATCCAACTAAATTATTCTTACCAGAGTTCTGCTAGTATAGATGTTTAATACTGCCAGTGAAACAATGTTAAAATGGTCCAAACCTGCTTCTGAATAGCTTCTCTTTGGCAGGAGTCAGGAATGTTCATAGGTAGGGGAAGAGACCTGATCTTGATATGAAACCATGTCCTTCATCTCTTGCAAGCAGGTCTGGGTAAAAAGTATAACCTGCTGCTTAAATTTCTTTCTTCTCCAGCAGAACCCAGAGTTCTTCAGTTGACTGTCAGGTCTTCTTTTAAACAATTTTTTTTTAAATGTCATTTAGTTGCAATTTTATGAGAACTCATTGATTCCTCAAGATACAGGAGCATTTTCTGCTTAGTCTCTTATAGTAAAAGCTCACCATTGTTAACATAAGAGATTAATTAGGTACAGTAACTGTAACAAGTATTCAGGGCAAAACAGTGATTCACTGAGCATGGTATGGAGACAGGTGAACACACTCAGATCTGTCAGTTATTTTGTAGAGAATGTGTGGATTTTCGCTTTTCATGGTAAAGAGGAGGGTGCAGAGTGATTGCAGATTTAGTATTAGCTGATGCAAGACAATGCACATCAAGAGGGGTCTTTTGAATTATCCCTGTGCACCACAGAATCATAGAATGGCCTGGGTTGAAAAGGACCTTAAAGACCATGTAGTTTCAACCCCCCTGCTGTGGGCAGGGTTGCCAACCACTAGAGCAGGCTGCCCAGGGCCACGTCCATCCTGGACTTGAATGCCTCCTGCGATGGGGCAGATGCTGCCCTGAGATGGCACCACGAGGTCTGAAGATAATTTTGCACATCTGCATTAAAACTTCTGCTTTTCTGACTACTTTGGAACAAGTAAAATTTTAGAACCTAGTAATACTGAAAACATCTGTGTTATCTCCTTTTCTGAAATATTATAATCCTATCTCAAAGAAAATTGCAGCAAAATAGAAAATGTAGAAGGGTAGGAGATAAAAATAATTAGAAGCATGAGCAAACGTTGATACAAGGAGAGTTTGGGAACTTTGGGATTGCTTTGTTTATGAATGTAAGGATGAGTACAATTTAAAGAGTGATTATTGAAAGGTATAATGTATACACTTTTCTCAAATTAGGAAAATAAATTAAAATTAAGTTGCCTGGAAAGGGAATTTAAAACTGATAAAAGGAAATACTATTCATTTGCAATCCAAGCACTAACTCTTAAATACAGTGTTGTCTTAATTCCTGTCTCAGTAGTATTCCAAATATTTCTGCATTATTTAACAAGTATATTTTGAAGATAATCTAAGTTGGAAATTGCCAGGAGTTCAAAAGCAGCTCATCTTACATGCTTGTAGTTGCTGAGGTGTTTGTATTTTCCTGTAAAGTATCTAGCATTCACCATCAAATATAGGGCACTAAGAAGATAAACTCCTGATCTGGCACTAATTCCTGTGTTCCCAACCACTGTACCCTCCAAGATCAGAGTCCAAAACTGATTCAGCCTTCAGTGTCTTACAGAACTTGTTACAGGAATTCCTAGATGAAAAGTTTAAGTACACCATGTAAAATAGATGGTTTTGAAAATTATTATATTAAATAGGGACAAAACATAATAGATTTTGTGACCAGAATAACATTAAATGTCTGATCAGATCTGTACACACAGGTATTTTTATATTTTTTGTTAATTGTTAAAAACTGTATTTTATTTAGACAGTTGACAGGCCGAAGGATTGGTACAAGACAATGTTCAAGCAAATCCATATGGTTCATAAGCCTGGTAAGTATGCTTTTGTCCTGGCTTGGTGGTTCTCAGGGGTATAAAAAACATGCTTTTCTGCATATGGATTATCTGCTAAGTGAAAATAAAAGTGTTCGCCAGATGTCAGATAATAAATCAAATCAAATTGGTAAATTCAATGATGGGTTTTACTGCAGAGAGAGCTGTTTTCTCTGCTGAGGGCTGAAAATTTCTAATGGGTTGATTTTATTACTAAAACTAAATAAAAATTAAAGTGATTAGGATAGGCATGCAACCATAGAATCATAGAATCATCAAGGTTGGAAAAGACCTCAAGGATCATCAAGTCCAACCATCAATCCACACCACCTAACTCACTAAACCATGTCCCTAAGCACCACATCTACATGTTTCTTGATTGGTTAGGATTGGAAGTGACCTTAAAGATCATCGAGGTCCAACCCCCCCTGCCATAGGCAGGGACACCCTCCACTAGACCAGGTTGCTCAAAGCCTCATCCAGCCTGGCCTTGAACACCTCCAGGGATGGGGCATCCACAGCTTCCCTGGGCAACCTGTTCCAGTGCCTCACCACCCTCACAGTGAAAAATTTCTTCCTAATGTCTAGTCTAAATCTGCCCTCTTTCAGCTTATACCCATTACCCCTTGTCCTCTCACTACACTCCCTGATAAAAAGTCCCTCCCCATCTCTCCTGTAGGCCCCCTTCAGGTACTGGAAGGCTGCTATAAGGTCTCCCTGGAGCCTTCTTTTCTCCAGGCTGAACCACCCCAACTCTCTCAGCCTGTCCTCATAGGGGAGGTGCTCCAGCCCTCTGTCTTCATGGCTCTCCTCTGGACTTGCTGTAACAGGTCCATGTCTTTTTTATGTTGTAAACAGTATGATTACATGTCACTGGGGAACTCAGTGAAGTGATCTTCACTTCCGGTTTGAGGGATGAGAATTGGCCACCGTACCATTGTCTTACCATACCAGCTTTCTTTTGGAGAGCTCATGTGTTAGAACAGCATGGGCTAGTAAACAGGCTGTTTGTGGGACACATTTTCTGTCTCAGTGGCATTTTTTGTCATAGAATGTCTTATTTGGTTTTGCTGAAATGGAGCTTTGGTGACATTACTAGCTTCAGAGTTAACATCCTTTATCATGATTGTGACCAAGGATGTCAACAAACTGTAAAAACAGCAATTATGCTCATTACCCCTCCAGAAGGGAGAAGACTTTATTTGCCTGAGGTAGAGCTTGCATTCAATATGGTCACACATAATTCTAGTGGGAGAATAAAAAAATGTAAGCAGGAAAATTTTGGCTTATAAGATCTATTTTGAATTCTAGTCACATAGTAGGTATTTGAGGTTCCTTTTTGTGATAGGAGCAACAACTTAATAGTATCTAGTAGAGGAGAGCTGACAAAAGGAAGAAATTGAGCTTGGGGAAGGGAGGAGGACAGACAAAAAGGTATAATTTGCAATTTGGTGCTAAGCAGTAAGTACACAATTTGAGTGACATGACAAGAAGATACCATTTTACCAATAAGATGGTAAAAATAGCCTGTGGTAAGTATGATGGGAAAAAAAGAGTCTTCGGAAAACACCTATGAGATGAAGAAATACAGTGCTTGATTGCCTACCAATCTTCTGTTTGTATTTGCAAAAACAAAGCTGAATTGCTCTGATAAATGGGCACATATTGCAATACTGTAACATGTGTATTTCTTTTTGTAGATGACGACACAGACATGTATAATACTGCATATGCATACAGTACTGGTAGGAATTATTCCCTCGCTTCAAAATGAGTCTTTTGTTAATGTCAGCAAGTAACAGGGGTAGTTAACTATTCATGCTTGCTTTTATGATGCTTATATAAACACTTTTTACTGTCCTGTCTGATCTCAGTTGGTGTTTTTTTCATGCCTTTTTTCCCAATGAAACGAAGTTTAATTTTGTTTTCATTCTTACGACAGAAATGAATTGCAGCTGTGGGCCTGTTACTGCAGATGGGATGCATTGTAATACTGTAGTTTCTCTTTACATTGCATTTATTTTCACTAGTGAGTGTGAGTAAGGCAGCCTCTCCTTATCAAAATGAAAATGGAACTACTGTGTGAAAGTACAAACGCTAATTACATAGATGGGAAGACAAAAGATTGTACTGAAAACACCATTTTGAAATATGCAGTAAGAGCGCCTAATAAAGATGACTCATCTTCTTCAGTTTTGCTATAGGCACTGGTGTTGACATTATTTATCTGCAAGAAAGACATATTCACCTAATAGATATATAATTGCTGTGTCTTTCAGAAGATTATAATCATGCAGTAAATTTATTTTACAAGAACAAAAGTGAAAGTGTGAATAGACTATATGTGCAAAAAGAAAACCCATGGTGCCTTTTACTAAAATGCCATTCAAAATTCTTCCACTTCAGTGTTTGTTGCATTCAACACACTCTCATACTGCCTTTTTGTGTACTGTTGAGAGTATTTGTTGTGTGTCAGTTGTTTGAGATCTGTTCGGGCTCTTGTGATCCTCTTCAAGATATGCTATTGCCTGGCTGTCCCAAACTAACAGTAATTATTAAAACATGGGGAAAAAAAAGTGTGTTTCCTGCCTCTTCTGTTCCTTCTGAACACAGAACTGAGAGGCAGGATGAGCCTGAGGATTAATAACAGGCTGTCATTAACAGCTCTGGTGGATACATACAGCCATTAACTTCTCCCCCACCCGCTCAAATTAATCATTAATTTATTTTAACAATACTGCACTACTGTGTTTGTAGTTTTATAGAGAAATATATTAAAATTATTCTAATGAGCTACATAGTATACAGCAATGTACTTTGAAAAATGCATTTACACATTTTTGTAACCTTGCAGCTTTATTGAGTAACTGTGGGTTCTTGTAGCATTCCATGGTGTGTTTTATTAAAACTCATTCTCATGCTGTGACTATCTCTGGTTTTGTTTTATATTAGGTAGCTACAGTCCATCCTTCTCTGCTCAGGCACACCCAGCTGCAAAGACGCAGACGTACAGACCATTGTCTAAAAGCGCTTCTGACAGTAGCTCTGATGCCTTTAAGGTCTCATCCCCTTTGCCACCTCCACATGTGCCACCTCCAGTACCACCACATCGTCTGAGGGAAAGTTCTACACCAGAAAAGTAAGTTAGCATATTTTCAAAAAGGGTTTTGGTATGTACAGTAATCCAATTATGGGATATCACAAAGGATAAAATAGCAGCTACAGAATAATAAGACTTTAAGGGCTTTATTCAAGGGACAGTCAGGCAATGAGGAGTAATCTTCATCAGCAGTCTGGGCATCATGCATGGTGCTGCCATTTCTTCAACATGCTAAAGTGCTTATTCTTACAAGGGATACCATCATGAGCATTTAAGATTTTCATTCTCGTTAGCAGGATTGTCCTGCTTGTTGTGTTCCAGAACAATCTGTGCTCTAGCAGCTGTCTTGAATAGTTAGTCTCTGAGTAGGAAAGGCTATTTATGGTATTCAGGAGCAAAGAAGAAGGATCTAAATGATGTAGTAAATTTAAATTCAAGGAAGAGCAAAACTGTAAGACTGTAGCAGTCAATCCACATTTCCCCAGAGCTCAGATGTGCTTTATATCCCCATGTTTTAAATCTCCATTTTGGTAGACCAAGGATGTGTTTACAGATTAAAGGGGCATTTCAGATTTCTCATGTTTTTTCCAGCTTTAAACTTGCTGCACAAACCCAGGTTCCAGTGGTTTGAGTCCAGTCTGGAAAAGGTTAATACTTAATAACTCGGGAAATAAATGCCCATCCTTCTGATAAAAATATGTGAAGTGCCCTGCACACAAACTCTATAGACTCTTAAGCATATCTGCAGCTACTAGCTCAAGCAAAAAGCCTTTTTTTTTACTGTTTACATTCATGAATACTACATGTTAATATAATATTATATTAGTATACATTTGTATGTGTGTTTATGCACATATATATTTTACCATTTGTCAGCTTACACATTCTAAACATTTTATATGTAGAAATTGACTTATATTAAACAGTTTCAGATAATTTGCAGTCTGCACAAAATATGAGAAAAGGGCATACTGTTTAAAATTCAGACTATGACTATGGCTTTTTGAAAATATTGGAGGTAGCGGCAATCCAAAAGGTAATCCACGGATACACATATTGCAGAGGAAAATGAGATGGCTCGATGGTTACTGATTTTGGCTACTCGTGTTGCTGAGGGAAGGCTGTCAAGAGGAAATGCAAGTGGTTAGAGTTGGGCTACCTCCCAAAGGCCGTGAGGTTTGAATTTTGTTAGCAAGTCATACAGAAGCATAGATTTTGTTAGCAAGGCACCAAAATGTGGATCTACTTAGCTTTGATCTCTGAAGTATGTGAGTCATACCGTGCTAGGCCAAATGCTTTGGTCACAAAACTGAGGCCTGTTACAGTTCCTTTTGTCAAGCTTGAAAATAACTGCTTCAGCACTGATTTTGGATGTTTAGCTTCTCCTTTTAATCTCCTGCATGATAAGACAGGCAGTGGAAATCTATGTTCTTCAGCCAGGGGATGCCAAACACATTAGTTATGCTTTGCCTGCTGCTGACAGCTATAGCTTGTCAATCTTTTCCCGCCATTGGGAGATATTTTTTTTTTTTAATTGCCTATAAAGCCCGAGTATTTAAAATCTCACATAAGAGGCTTAGGTCCACATGTATCACAGTTTTGTAGCTGGGAGCCAAGATACGGTTTGCATTAACAGTTGGGCTCAAAAATGTAGCCCATAAGGGATTACAGGCTAAATGTTGTACATTAAGTGAACTGAGTGTGAATCAGAATTTTAGTAGCATCATTTTTTCTTCAGTGACTTACAATACAATCCAACTTGATCAGAGCATCTCCATTTTCCTGTTCATTCTAAAAAATGCAACCTTTTCTGGTCTGAAACTAATGTTTTCCTCAGTGAAAGTAAACAATAGAGCCATGTAGAACTACTTCACTTGAAATGTAGGGCATTTTATTAATGGAGGTGCCTGTCCCAGAAATTGCACTCACAAACACACTGTAAACAACAGATACCCCACTGAATTTTTTAAGGCCCATGACATGTGCCTTATTACATCAGGTCACATCAAACCAAGTCACATCAGAAAGGCTGATAGAACTGATAGAATTTAATCAGTGTATGCGCTTTCTTATTATAATACAGGCAATAGCTGATAGGATTTCCCCTTTCCTTTCCCCCATTCTTTGAGTTACTAGTGGGTAATTTGCCACAGAGCTAAATAAAAAGATGTGTGAGCTACAGTCTTGCAAACACAATGTAGGTAGTGATTACAAAAACTGCCATGAAAAGGTAGCTCTCACTGTAATAGTAACTAGCTGACTAACCCCCAAAAATGTGGAGGTAGCTATTAATACAACATAGCAAATGACTGAAAAAATATAGTAGGGATTACTTTTTATTCTTTGTATAGCACTATTAAATTGAAAGCGAATTCATAATTTCAGAGAAAATGGATACATTTCTGTCACAAAGTCAACTGCCAAATTCTTGTTCTTGTTTATGTATTCAAATTTCCAAGGAAACAGTACACTGCTTGCAAGGATATTCAGGAGAAATCTATTACATTTTCACACTATCTTTTAAAATAATTCCTCATTTTTTGTCTCAGAAAATTTTGTAACTTTTTCTATATGGACTTAGTATCATATTGTGTGATGACAAAAATATCTACAACTTGCCTATATTAGTATAGTGCATAAAACAAGTACAGTAAATTTGCCGTTTGAGAAGACATGTCATGGTATTTTGACAGTATGTCAGGGAAGTTTTTAAACTGGTCTACCAGTTCTAACAAAAGTATGAGTGATCATATAGCCTGGATATCTCTTGTATTTTTCCTGATACAGTGGTTAAACCATTGGGATGCTAGACCAAATATTTCATAACGGAAACCCGAAAACAAAAACCATGCTGAAATTCATTTGGTTTTGCATGTTTCTCTTGCATGGAGCTGTAAAGCAGATGGCAGTGACAGTAAATTAACTCTATTGCTTGTATTTGTTGTTTAGAAATGACTGGGATCCCCCTGACAGAAAGGTAGATACCCGGAAGTTCCGTTCTGAACCAAGAAGTATTTTTGAGTATGAGCCAGGAAAGTCATCAATCCTTGAACATGAAAGACCGGTAAGACACATAAATGAAATGGGTAATACAGTAAGAGGTTTGGTGAGAGGTCATCTTTTTTATTATTTACTACTGATTGTAACTGCTTAGATGAATATTGAAGGTCCTTTTTCAAATATGATTTTGCAGCAATTTATCTTTTCTCTTTCCTGATAGTTGTGTTGAAAATGTGGGTTTGGCTTATTTGCTAAACTTAGATCTTTTGATATTTCCAGGGAATCAAATCATTACTGTGCAAACCGCTAATGGACGATGAACAGAACTGTGAATTAATGGAAACCACTTTTTCTAATTGGCATGCATCTCCAGCACTCATTTTCAGTAGTATTAACAGCACATGTGATTTGTGATTAATTAATGCATTTTCAGGATGTGCCTAATTGTACGCATAAGGAGATTTTGGTTGAATACTGGTCAAGGTTGCCCAAAGAGGCTGTGGAATCTCCATTTCTGGAGGTGTTCAAGACTCACCTAGACACAGCCCTGAGCAACCTGATCTGATTAGACCTGCTTTTAGCAGGAGGTTGGACTAGATAACCTCTGGGAGTCCTTTCTAGCCTCAATTACTCTGGTTACTGAGTGTACATTAACATGTAACTAGAAGTCTCAATTCCTGCTTTCTGAATAGTGATTGCAATTGTGGGATTTTTCACAAGCATGTCTGATGAAGCTATGCCTAATGCATGCAAAATGACCAGTAATGGAAGTTTTCATTTGCTGAAATGAAAACTTCACCCAGCCTTTCTAATTTACCTTTGTGCTATCTCAATACTTTCTTATTTTAGGAAAACTGTTATGTATCAGCGGCAGTATTTTCTTTTCCTGGTCTTTAACTTTCAGGTTGAAATGGTTGAGAGAGTCCACTTTTAAAGAAGGGGTTTATGTAATCAATACTGGATTATTTGCTTCTGTGTTACTGTATTACATACTTGTTCGCAGACTTTATTTTAATAATTTAAAATAAATTAAGCAAATAATTGAATTCCAGAATATGTAGCATGTCAACAGTGTGAAACACCTGTACTAAGCACCTTTCCCTTGTGTTTTTGTGGTCTTTGCAGGAATATAATTTTCATTAGCTAGAAAATACTAAGCCGTGTTTCTGTGAAATTAAGTTCTTGCAGAACTGATGCATTTTTTCAAAGAGAAAGTTGGCATTTCTATATCAACTGCTAATTAATCGATAAAATTAAATTGGATTTGGAATTTATTGTGAAGATGATCTTAACAAGTAATTTTATTTAAAAGGTGATGGCATTTGTTCTGAATACTGTTTTGATTGCCATGGCTGCATTATACACACTGAGGTTATTTACCAGCCTTCCCAATGCCAAAGAATAACAGCGGATTCAAGTTACAAATAAGAAAATTACAGTGATGTTTCAAGAATAGTCTCATTTTTTTTCTAATAAATTACATTTTCTACTAATGTAATGTGAAAAAAATAATTCATATGGGAATTGCAGTGCCGATAAATAGGGTCATAGATACAATTTTTCAATTTTAGTGAACTAATTAAATGAGAAAAAAGTGAGCTTTGCTGACTGTTCCTGAATCCTTTTTTGTTAACTTGCTTATGCATTTTATTTTCAATGGTCTCAATCAAGAGGTTGGAGTTTGAGCTTTGTTTGGTCCTTAAAATATTTTCATGCAGAAAAGCCTTAGTCACATTGCACTTACTGAGCAGCATCAGTCAAGGGCAAGATCACACTTCATCATCTGACACTTAGACTAGTTTAGCCTTAGCTAATGTAAATACAAGGAAGCATCACTTTGTAGAATAAATTTTAAAAGCTGAGGAAATAATTTTCATGGGCAGAATGGAGAGAATTTTGGTTATGTGTAATTCAGAGCTGTAAAAGATTGGAAAACAGGAATTACTATAGAATACAAGAGATGAAAGTTGTGCTGACACTAGTGTAATATTATTAACTGATACAAAAATAGTTAAAGTGAGCTATCACAGTTTCATCAGTCTGGAATTTCTGCTGTTGATAAAGATTATGTTTAGCTTTATGTGTTTATATACTTCCTTTGGACCATGTTACAAAAATAAAAAGATTTGGTTTCACTAAAGAATTTGCTTTCCTTATGTTCACTGAATATGATATGGTAAGCAAAACTCACGACTTAAAGGATAAGCAACAGAGTAGGTCAAAAGATTTTTCTGTGTGTCTAGGAAAAGCTGATATCTGAAAACAACGCATTAGTTCCAAGTTCAGATGAAAAGTCCAAATTCTCAACTGTGTCAGTGTTGCATGAGTTAAGTCTTTCATCTTGGTAATCTCAAAATATTTTATTTCTAATGTTTGAAAAAGTGTTCTGATAATACTGAAAGAAAATCAAAATATGGAATATAAAAATAAATATAGTTCATTAATATTGTAAAAGATGGACATTTATAGCATCTGAAATAGAAATTCTTACTTTCTTAGTTTTGTCAAAAACAAAAAAAGTCAAAGGGTTTTTTTTCCAAAACTCCAAATCCTGACATTTTTTGATGAAATTAAATCATTTCCATGTCTACGAGATTGCAGTTTTGAAGGCAAAATAATCCGGAAAAAAAAAATTTACAGCTACCTTGTATGATAATAAACAGGACAGATGAGTTTTGAAAGATCAACATTCCCTTTATTGACATAGGTAGGTATTACATGGGAACCAGGTGTGATTAATGTGGAGATTAGAAACATGGGAAGAATATAATAAAATGAGATTTGATGCAGAAGTAACATTTAGTGGGAAATATTATTCAGCAGATCCTCATTCAGTAGGTCAAAAGAATGTAGGAAATAATAAACCTAAAAAAATCACATATTAATAAACATTAAATGGATAGATTGGTTAGGGATGGATGGTTATCTTTGTAATGGATATAAAAAGATGTGTGTAATTTCAAACTGCAGTATCATGTATCAGCATTCTGTGATGAAACAGGAAATTAATGTTTTTTCTTCTATAATTTGAATTTGTAAGAGTATAAAACATAGGAGAGGTTTGGGATTGGTCCTTTGAGATTACAACTAAAAGTAAGTGACATTAAGCTGTTGAATAGTCTTCCAAGCAATGATGTGACAGCTCCTTCTTTCCTCTTTCAATAAGCCCATAAAACATTACCATTTCTTCTAATAACACAGCACTGATAAAGTGGTACATAAATTGTTCTGCTGTATGTTTCCATCTCCAATGCCTTCAATTCAGTAAAATGCTCTTCTTTTTTTTCTAATATCATCTGAACCATGGATTTGTTTCCTAAAATGGATGTTTACTTTCAGCAAATAAGTAAATTTCAGTGTAATAATTTAATCGTACTCATATGAAGTTAAATATTTATTCTTTACTAGTTTCGACCTTGTATATGTGAGGTAATTCATACATATACATTTCTCTATTTCTGCAGTAAAACAAGTAAGGAAAAATCTCGGTGTTGCTGTAAAGACTATAAAATAAGGACAAACAGCTGATGCTTTTATTTTCATTAGGTGTTTTAGTGTAAGCATGAATGTACACATGTGCTAGTCAGATAAAACTGTCATGTTAAATTTTAGTTCTAGATTTTTTTATATATGTTCAGAATACAAATTTTCTACCAAGTTGATATGCGAGAGGATTTCAGGATCAGAATAAATTAGAAAACCTTACTGCTTTGTCAGATACTGGAAATAGACAGGGCTTGCACCATGATGTACATCTGTTCATTTTGGAGGAGTTTTTTTACTGTAGTGGAAAATTCACCATTTTCTTTAGAATAAGCAAGTTTGTCACCTTTGACATCTCAAGCTGGTTATCAGAATATTCTGCTTGGTGTTAGCTGAGTTACTTGAGTAACACTTTGTCAACTAAAAAAAAATTCTCAGTGTGTTTTAAAAAGAAATCAGAAATTCTGCATATAGGTATGTTTTGATACGACATTAAAAAAATGTCCTCTCATAAATATATGGAGAGACTAAGTCAATCTGGTAGTGGACTTAGAGCTAAAACAGCTATATAAGAGTAGCCCCCAAAAAAAAAAGAACAAAGGAAAAGCAAAACCAAACTCTTTAGACCTAATAAAATGCCAAAGCTAAATTTACAATAGACATGTCAGTCTGTTATTCCAAAGAGGCTTCAGTATGCTGTCTGAACTTGCAAATGAAAAATATTGATTCGACCATGGAGATCGTGTAAGAACCATTTAACTCGCCAGTTTAAATGCACACTTTTGATTATTACCTGTGATTATCTATTTGTGTGTATCAAATCAAACAGAGGTAAAGCTGCATGCAACAATATAAGTGTCATTTCTTTAAATTACATCAGTGTTCTCCTGTACTTGAGTATGTTGATGCAGTGCTGTGTTGACCATCTGATGCAAATGGCAAAAAGAGTGAAGTTACTGGTCATCAGTAGTATATTTTCAATAAGTAATGAAAATGTTACTAAATGGATAAATGAAGGACAGAGTATATGAACATGACTTGGTTTGTGTGACAAGTCCTAAAAAGGGAATTTACTTTATTGGTTTTACCTTCTTTTCAAGCAGTTTTGGAGATACTTTGTGAGACCAAGCAGAGCTCATTTTTTTAAGTCAAAATGATTTGTTCATTTTAAGTCTCTTAGAAGGGGAGATAATAATAGAAAAAGGGCCATCAGCAAAATTTAATCGAAAAGACAAGCAAAATCAGTTGCCTGTGTATTGATCTTGGTAGCACAGGGAATGAATGCAGAGTACTCTAGAATTGCCTGGCAGCAATGAACTTGCAGACTTTAGTGCCCGGTTTCTATTCTTTGCTGCCCTCTGCGGTTCAAGCCGTAAATAAAAGAAACTACATAAAACACACTATTTCCAGCTTTTTCTTTACAAGCAGAAATGCGGGGCGGGGGGGTTAAGTTTTCAACTAATTGCAAGAGTATTTGAAGGCAAAAGGGGAGCCAGCTCCCATTCTCATTTTTATCTCCTTGGCTAGCTGGGTGGAAGCCTAGCTTGCCTGGCAATGTGTTCTGGGTCCCTGCAAGAAGGG